GCTGGTATCTACAACGTACTATATATATATATATACTATTTTCTTTTTTATTCTGTATAGAGATAACAACACAAGAAAGTATTATTATGAAGTGTTGGTATCTACAACGTACTATGTATATATATATACGGTTCTAAAAGTTTTGATTTTTCACTCTTCAGTTCTGACCATTACTCCTTGTATTAGCTATTGGTAACAGGTGTTTTTATAGGAGCACCTGTATCTATTCCAAAGCTTACAATTACAACAAAAGAATGCAGTAATGACGTGTGCGCGGTCGATGTTAAAAAAAAAGAATGAGGGGAAAAAAGAGAGTCGTTGATCCTATTGGTTTTAATGTAACTTAAGCCTTTTTGTTATCACGCACATCAAATGAACTTGCACCTGGATGCACTCATTAAACCACCCGCTGAAAGGAATTCTCCTTCAGAAACGTCAAGAATGGATTCTTCTGTTCAATTTACGTAATACCTGAGAATGAAAACACTCATTATTTTTGACCGAACACCTTGAAGGCTGAATTAGTTGAATAGGCATGTTTCTTCAGATTGGTGTACCTTCAACACTTGCCAGCGGCAAGCGTGTTCTCTCAAAACGTGAAGGCACGACTACCTATTGTATTGCTACCAAAGAAAGTCACAAAATCATAAATTGGCTCAATGGTAAGAAAGGACGTCTTCATCGCTTAAGTTTCTTCTATGACTTGATGTGTACGTGAACCTACGACCTTCTTTATCTGTCACATGGTACCATAAAAAATAATAAATTTCAAATCGTTTTCCAGTGATCGCTTGTTCTTCTCATACATTGAAGCTTTCCCGTGTTTCTTCTGATATAGTAGAAACATGTAAACCGTAGAGAAATGTATATATATTATTTGTAAGATCGAAAAACAAAAATAATCTAAAACACCTTGAAGTACAATAACAGTTACAATATAAATTACATAAATACAATATACAATTTTATTTTATTATTTTCTTCAAACATTTTGCTATCGGGCATGTGCGAGTATAAAAATAGCCCGTAGAAGTAATTTCTGTAAACAACAGTGCTTTAGAAAGTAGTCATTGTGAAAACCTAAAATATTTATTTGGGCGATAAAAGAAAAGAAAAAAAAAACGCGAGTTCTTTGGAAGAGATATTTCTTCTAGCTCCACCTTGTGGAAGATATATAATTGAGAAAATAAATGAAGTTTAAATTTACGCATGTTATATCAAAATTTATCACTTCAAGAAATAGTAGTAGCAATATGAAAACATATTGTAAAGAAATGCCATGACAAAGAGTAAAAATGAACAAGATATGTGTGTGTGTGTGTATCTGTTTCATAACTTTTGCATAAAGCGAAAATATTAGTTTGTAGTTAAGCACAAAGCTACACAATGGGCTATCTGTGTTCTGCCCACCCACCACGGGTATCGAAATCCGGTTTTAGCGTTGTAGGTCCGCAGACATGCCGCTGTGCCACTGGGTGGAGGGGGGGGGGGTGAACATGATAAAGTATTATTTGTCTTAGATAATTCTAGAGCATTTATATCAATTTTTTTTATCTCCAATCATTACCTTTGTTTAAGATTTCATACAGATGTGTTTCAAATATTATCTTGGCCGAAATATTTGTATAGAACTGTCTTAAATTAAAAGATAGTGCAAAACGTAATAATAATACATGTAACTTTAACAATGATGTTATGTCTTTTTAATGACAGTTTTGTTTGTTTGTTGTTGAACACAAAGCTACACCATTGGCTATCTGTGCTCTGCCCACCACGAGTATCGAAACCCAGTTTTTAGTGTTTTAAGCTCTTAGAGTTACTGCTTATCCACCGGGGAGCTTAATGACCCTAAATCTTGTGATTTTATAGCTTGAAATTGCTAACTTTTCAGGTTTGTTCACGTAACTGAAACGACATTTTTTATCAGGTACCAGCTTAGGTAAAAAAAAAATAAAGAACTCTGCAGAAATTACTAGCATCTGTGATTTTGCGTGTGAGAATATAAAATATCGAATTAATATAAGTTGTTTGTAATTAATTTGGTTATTCTTTAATGGGAAACTATGGATAAAAATTAGTTACGAGCCTAACATAACATACGCTGTATATATATATATATATATACATGAATATTCGTGAGCATTTACTTTTATACTAGAATTTCCAACTTACCGCCCTCTGGTGCCTAAAGAACCAACTTTTGGATTTGGTAGGCAATAATCTGGTGACTTGGTGATGAAAATGAGATCGTTCTTTCCGTACATTCCCATTTGACTATTAGCTGGAATTAGTTTTCGTCGTTTCCCTCTCCACTGACTAACGACTTCCGTTGCGATATAATACTTTCTTTTCAGAAATTCCGAAACCTCCAAGAGTTTAGGTAATGCTCTCCAACATGTCTTAATATTACAAGATCCAGACACACCATGACATTTACACTGTGTGATTACACTGGTACGTGCTATCTGTCAGAATATAAAGATAGAATCGGCCTTACTAGTTGTAATAACATATGCCTATATTCTGAATATTCTAGTCAGATGATATGCAGTATGTTATAACAAGGAAAAAGGATAAAACATTTGGCTACTATGGACTAATAATGCTGCAGTCTGACTGGAAAAGTGATCTCAACTTCTATAAAGCATTGTTTGTTACTAGTCATGTAATATCCGTGTGTTTTAATATAGAACTTGTTTCTGTGTTTGTTACCATACATCATTGTTTGTTATTAGTCATGTTATATCCGTGTGTTTTAATATGGAACTTGTTTCTGTGTTTGTTACCATACATCATTGTTTGGGAGGAACTACTGTTTCTTCCCTCTACCAGTTTCCCTCATTTTGTGCTACACAAGCTGTATAAGTGTTTAATTAATTGGTTCGTGTCCTGCATTTTGGAATCGTGAATAAGTTACTAGAATGACAGTCAAATCCTAATATTCGGTTAAAGTAGGCTTAACTCTAGTCTATCAGTTTCAAACTTAGGAACAGCTAGCGCATGTAGCATTGCGCGAATATCCCAAATAAAACATATTAACTGATGGCGCATTTGTAAAAACTAGAAGAAAAAAAGCACATAACCTTGTAGAGTTTCGTGTGTTACTTCCCGAGTTTTTGTTTCTGTAGCTTAACTCCAAAACACATGGGTGCATTGATTTGATGCATTCCAAACAAGAAACTACTGGAAGAAATAATTCAAAACCCTAGATAAACTTTCTACAGCTTATATATCTTTTAAAAAATAAAATATTTCTGGATTTTGACTTGGAGCATTACTTCCCTTAGGAATTAAACCTTGAATCCATGACTGGATTTGTTAAATAATTAAAGAGTGGCAAAGTTTCAGTTTAATTGGTTAGTTCCCGCTTACGTCACATTCTCAGTTATGCGGGTTGTTATCGGTGCTGATATTGTTAACATTCTTAGTCGAACAAGTAGTGTTGAATATCACGCACTCATATCAATATTGTCGATATAGGAACGAACGAGTCAGGTTTTCATAAAAATCACTGTTTATGAATGTGAGTCTAACGTTACTTTAATTAATAACAGTCGTCACATTCACCTAAGGAAGTCGTTTCCAGGAGCGTATAATTTGAACCTAAGAGCTTAGGTGTAGTCATATTAATACAAAGTACACTTTAACATAACCAGATCTACTAATGTAAACAAGACTGACAAAGCTTAATAGAAAACACTCACATACTACACGAATAAAAGAACATTTTGTCACTATGATTATTTAATATAAACAATAACAATCGTTCCAGAAATATCCACGTTCTAACCATTGTAACTAAGAACGGTTGCTTTGATCAGAAGTTAACTAACGTAAGAATTACATATAGCTGAATTTCCATAATGGTTTTGTTTGTTTGTAGTTAAGCACAAAGCTCTGCCCACCACGGGTATCGAAACTCGGTTTCTAGCGTTGTAAGTCCGCAGACATACCGCTGTGCCCCCGGGGGCCTCCATAATGGCAAAATGCGTGATAAATATGGTTAAAAAAATCTTGAGAAAAGTTCAACTCACATTTGTAAATAAATAGAATGCTTGGTTTCGGTTTCGGTTTCGCTTTACATGTGTGAGGCAGGCATCTGGTCTTTTCAAAACATAAATCTGAGAAAAATATACTAAGTTGTAAAATGTCTACTTTGATATCATCTTCTGTTTGACTTTCTTCATTTTTAATATTCAATTTAATGTTTGTATGAGAATAACAGCTCCCTTACCATTTGACCATTTCTTTTTTGTCAAGCTACTACAGCCAGTTGTTTCCAAAAATAACATGAAAACTTATTATCTTTCTTACCCGCCTTCCTGCTTTATTGTTATGTCTGTTCATAATCGCTTCAGTTGTCTCTGTCCTATTCTTCTGCCTCCAAGGACTGTCACAAAACGAGCGTGCAAACTTGAATCCATGACGTAGATTGTCAGCACACCCACCCCACTTGAAAGCTCCGTTAGGTGGCTCACGAGGGACGCGCCCACAACCACAGGAAAGAAGTGATCCCATACTGCAGGCGCGCGCTATAGTGTGACCAACAGCGGCAGATGCCAATGAAGACACAAAGGCTTGCTCTCTGGTACCTAAAATAATATATATAATATGTTTATAAGCAAATTAGAATTAATAATAGCAAAAAATTAGAACTTTCAACAGAGATGACAGAGAATTGTTAAACTGGTTTGCTTATAAATAAGAAATTTCAATGAATCGTAGCTTTTAAAATATGAAACAGATGACAACTTATTAGCTACATAAAGAATAAAATAATACTATAGAACAATGAAACATAGATGAATAATACGGAAAATGTGAATATTGCACTGTATAAGTAGCAAGGCGGAATTTTCGTATAAAGCTAGTGACATTATTGAGTAACTCAGTTTCGTTTATTTAAAGTCATTGAAACACAACTTGTAGCATATTTTTTATTTCAGTCTAAGTTCGTGTAAACAGGTGACAAATTAATGTAAAACAACTGTTTTAAAGTAATTTAAGACTTAGTACACAGCTAAAAAATTTGTTGGTGCATCTTAAGTCACCTAGTGACAACTCAGATGTCATGGAACATCAATGTTATATCAAACCTAATGAAGAAAAAGCTTAAAGACATACAAATTATCTTTACCTTAAGTCACTCAGTGACAGCTAAAATATCATGGAACGTCATTATTATATCAAAGCTAATGAAGACAAAGCTTAAAGTCATGCAGATTATCTTTATCTTAAGTCACACAGTGACAATTCAGATGTCATGGAACATTATCGCTATTTCAAATCTAATCAAGGCAAAGCATGTAGTCATTCATGAAGATTATGTTTGGTGAAACTAGAAATATGATGACTTCAGCATTTTATAATATATACATTTATATGTGGCATTATATCAAAAATTATTCACAAATTTAAAATTCGCAGTTGCTCAGAACCACGTGGTGTTAAAGTACATTAAGCTTTACACAACTTTCAACTTTTTTATATAAAAGTTAGGCTTAGTTTTATTTATTGTACTTCTTTTTTCTTTTCTTTTTTACGGAAATACTGGTGATGGTCTGTGCGTTTTGAATGAAACTCGTTATCATTACAAGATATCCTAATAGAAATAAAGTTACAGCCTCTAGTTGATAAACAGGGGGAGAGTACTACAACCTGTTCTCAACATCAGTAGTTTAAGTTGCGTTATCACAGACATAAAAGTACGTTTTTCATAACTTTTAATAGATTTTGAGCGCCACAAAAGTGTACAATTGACTATAAATAACCATAAACCACTGATGTGTCCTCTATACGAATATTAATGCTATGGACTAGTTAACAACACTTATAACCGAAATGTTGATCCACTGCGTAATGGAAGCGTTTGTGGTACCTGTGAGGGCATATATAAATTTATCTTCACCAGCCTGGTGTAACGCGAAATAAGGTGATCGTGAGATGACTCATTTTTTCTACTGCACTATATTAAGGTGATTGTGAGATGAATCGTTCTCTACTGCACAATATTAAGGTGATCTTGAAATGATTAGCTCCTTAAATGCAGTATATTAACATGAAATGACTAGTTCTTCTACTGCACACACCTGAATATATAACGCAAACATGAAAAAAGATGAGAACTACACATACGGCACACCTGAAAATAGGATGAAAAAATGAAGAAATATGAGAACTACATATACCACACCCCTGAATATAGTACGTAAAAATGAAGAAATATGAGAACTACATATACCACACCCCTGAATATAGGGGTAAAAATGAAGAAATATGAGAACTACATATACCACACCCCTGAATATAGGACGTAAAAATGAAGAAATATGAGAACTACATATACCACACCCATGAATATAGGACGTAAAAATGAAGAAATATGAGAACTACATATACCACACCCCTGAATATAGGACGTAGCAATGAAGAAATATGAGAACTACATATACCACACCCCTTAATATAGGACGTAGCAATGAAGAAATATGAGAACTACATATACCACATCCCTGAATATAGAACGTAGCAATGAAGAAATATGAGAACTACATATACCACACCTCTGAATATAGGACGTAGCAATGAAGAAATATGAGAACTACATATACCACACCCCTGAATATAGGACGTAAAAAGTCTTAAAGTTATAAAATATGTAAGTCAGACACATACAACTACAGATATAGTGTAACTTGCAATATTAAAAGACAGTAATATAAAAACAGTCCTGAAAATAGAGAGCGACTTAACACGAAAGAACTTTAACATACAGTAATCGAAATAATTATGTAAACTCACAAGTGATATACAGTCAATAGTCAACGAATAGTGAAAACTAGTTAACTGGTGAATTTATTGAAAGTTCAAAACATTATCACAGAAAATGTAAAAGAAATGTTAATAAACTGTTCAATGGGATAGTATTTTATATGTGACTTTACACAGAACATCACCCCTTGTTTTCACACTGTCATTCAGTTATCAAAGTACGATTGTGGAATATTTTTATAAATACACTGTATTATTCTTTAAAATCCAGCCAAGTTATTTGGTTGCCTTTTAACCTTCTCATTTATTACTTAAGCTCATACAGCGCTAATTATTCTCATGCTCCTTCCCTCATTTTATGAGCCCCAAACCTTTTAGAGGTACCCCACCATGCTTTACTGTAGATGCTATAAGTTGACTATTATACCGTTTTCCTATGTATTGTTGAACAAATTATCGTAGATTGTTGCTTAACAATTCGAATTTGGATTCATCTGAAAAGAGCACATGTTCACATCTTTGCTGGTTAATAAAATAACATCGGAAGGAGTAATAGCAAAAGTTAATAAAAGAGTACGATATAAGTTAATAAAGTGAGATAGTAAGGAGTGACGATATAAGTTAATATAGTGAGATAGTAAGGGGTAAAAATATAGCCGAATAAAGTGACATAATAAGGAGTAACAATATAAGTTAATAAAATGAGATAGTATGGAGTAACGATATAAATTAATAAAGTGAGATAGTAAAGAATAACAATATAAGTTAATAAAGTGATATAGTAAGGAGTAACGATATAAGTTAATAAAGTGGGATAGTAAGGAGTAACGATATAAGTTAATAAAGTGAGATAGTAAGGAGTAACGATATAAGTTAATAAAGTGATATAGTAAGGAGTAACAATATAAGTTAATAAAATGAGATAGTATGGAGTAACGATATAAGTTAATAAAGTGAGATAGTAAGGAATAACGATATAAGTTAATAAAGTGGGATAGTAAGGAGTAACAATATAAGTTAATAAAGTGATATAGTAAGGAGTAACGATATAAGTTAATAAAGTGCTATAGTAAGGAGTAACAATATAAGTTAATAAAGTGGGATAGTAAGGAGTAACAATATAAGTTAATAAAGTGATATCGTAAGGAGTAACGATATAAATTGATAAAGTGATATAGTAAAGAGTAACGATATAAGTTAATAAAGTGTTATAGTAAGGAGTAATGATATAAGTTAATAAAGTAAGATAATAAGCAGTAACATATAAGTTAATAAAGTGAGATAGTAAGGAGTAATGATATAAGTTAATAAAGTAAGATAATAAGCAGTAACATATAAGTTAATAAAGTGAGATAGTAAGGAATAACAACACAGGTCAACAACGTAAAATTATGAAAGATTAAAGATGCATACCTGCGGTTAGATCGTGCATTAAGTTAGGGACAAAATCTATAGAAGAACAGTTCCATCGCCTGTCTGCAAATGTTTCTTGGCATGTTTTCATTGTTGCCCGGGCAGCATTAATGATCAAAGGCATAAATTCCATGTTACGCTTACACAGTCTCCCTTGATTGCCCTGCAGGAGTTTCTGTCTTCGGGCGTGTGTACAATGAGCTTTCTTATTCCACATCATTTGTCTCTTGCCAATAGCTCTGTAAAAAGAAAAAAAAAAAAAGATTAATCTTTGAGGGTAGGATAATTATTTTTACTGAAAATCTGAATCACGTAAGTTATAAACTTTTATTTTATTTGTTATATTTATTTACACAGGAATCCTTCCTTATTTGTAATTAGATATGAAATGCTCGTTGATGACTATGCATTTTTTAGTTTGCTCTTAAATCAGAAAAGATGCATTCTTAACTATGAATTCCGTATGAGGGCGCTACGAGAACTATAAGCTCGTTTCAAAGAAATCTCATTTCTCAGAAATTCTGGAAGATATTTTTTTTTTTTATAATTACACTTGCTAACCTATAAGGTAAACATCGACTTTATGGATAGTTTTCATACTTTATAGGGCAGTTATTACATCTAGTTACACAATGCAAAAATGACGTTTGTTTATAAAACTTTGTTTTATTAATGTCTATTTGCTGTTACAGAAAATTTATTTTAATAGTTTATGATATCCACAGATATATATATCCCCAGTATCTCATATTTTCTTAGCGATGTTTTTTTTTCTAAGTGTGCTACATACTTTTTAGACTTGGATCACAGTTTCTTCCCGTCAAGAGTAATTGGTAGTTAACTTCTGAAATCCTAAAGAACCACCCAGGGATGAAATATTTCGATCTTTTTAATACTTCTCCTTTTCACATTTTGCACCATATTTTCACTACGTTTAGTTCTTTAACAATAATTTACCTCCATTATATTTTACATTTAAATCTCACATGTGTTGTTTTATTAAAATAGAAAATCAGGCGAGTTTGATAATATTACTTAATGTGGCTAATTACATTATCACTGATTGGCTGAATCATCACTTCCAGGAATTTTCCTTAAATAATTGAAAAAGGAACATGGTTATAAGCCAGATGTAAAAAATGATGATGAGATTCGAAGCAGCTGGAAGTTTGAAGTAATTTTCTTCTGAACTTTTTTTAATAAAAATATTCTTTCATTTAGGAATTTAGTATCATAAAATGGACTTATGAATATTAACTTTATTATTAGCAACATATAACCTCACAGACATTTTTTGCTCCCCACTTTATATAACGAAACGTGAAACCACGTTTAAGGTTTATTGAAGCAAGCATTTTCATGTGTCATCATGAGGAAAATTGACCAAAGAACTGTCCTATGGCGCTTTTAATCTCTTCTGTGTAATACATATATGACTAATCCATTTACTGCTCTTGAAAAATTCGAAAATGCTTCATTGTTTGCCAACTACCTAAATATTAAATTAGCAGTTGAGGTAAAAGACTGTGCTGTGCTTTATTTAAATATGAGGACTGAGCGTGACCTAGTGCTAGGCTACGAATCAGAAGGTCTAAGGTTCTAGCCGCGATATTTCACAGAAGAAGCTCCACACTTTCAGCTGTAGAAGGTATTATACCGTGACAGTCAACCCAACTATTAGGTTAAGGATAGCGAGGTAGGCGGCGGGGGCTGATTGCTCTCTCTCTGGCCGGCAGTTCTAAGTTAGAGATAGCTAAGCCTGAATCTACGATTCCGTTCAGGTTGAAAATACCAAGCAGTTAGATATTACTATTAAAAATAAAACTAATTAATATGAAATTTTAGTGTTTCAAAAATCTGTTTTCCTTAGATTATTTTTTAATTATGAAAGTTTAATTCCTTGAGGATGTAAAGAAAATTTGATCAACATTTTTAGAGCATTGGATTTAACGTGTAAAAATGTTTTATTTCCACCAAAAAATTAAAAATTAAACAAATTTTTGTCAACTGTTTTACTGACCAATATGATTACTAAATTGAACAACAAAATGATAACAACTTTTTCATATCTATAGTGAAATAAATTATGACATCTAATTTACATGAACTGCAATTAAAGAAGACATTTCACCGTTCATTAAAATAATTTATCCTCAGATTGAATTGATCCAACTGCTAGAATAATTTGTTTAAAGTGAGCCAGTAGATGAGTAGGAATTCTGTGTCTTTAAAGTCAAATTATCATACAGCATGTATTTGTTATAAAGTCGTTCAGTTAGCTAAACTTACACTAGCATTCATGTAGAATGAATTATATATATAGACTGTTTTCATTCCTTGTCTCATTTCACATTTTGTCTGCGAGCATCATTTAACTTGAGTTTTCTTTATGCATATCTATAATTCATATTAATAATATCCTCCAGAATCTCTATCTCACACTCACCTAGTATGTAAAAATATATCTAATAATAGCGATTGAAAAAGAAAAAAAAAGATTTCATAACGGGAATTCAAATGTTTATTAGTATCTTACACATCTCTGATATTTTAGATGAAAGCAGCTTGTTACCTCTGTTTCTTCTACCTTTAACTCTCTGTCATTTTACTATAAACTTTTATACCAACACTTCTATCCAATAGCGTAACGTCGTTTGAAAAAGAAAATGTTTTAATTATCTAATTTTTACAAGTGTGGGATTGTGGAAGCGTGCGCTCTCATCAAATTTTGGGCATTTTTAAGTGTGGGCTAAATTTCCAAATTAAAAGGGGAGTATCAGCGCCCCACTATAACCACTGACGAGTACTAAAGCCAGAGTACAGTTATATATATTGGTTGTACTCATCAGTGTCTTCAAGAACTAAAGATATTTGAGCATCATGAACCACATCATAACCTTACTATAACCAGCTTTATGGAAAAAGAAACCCTTACATATTGTATACACATATATATATATATATATGTATATATATGTTAAATTAGATCAAATACCCAAGTGCAAAATTTCCTTACGCAGATACAGCAGTTCTTTATAAACACACTTGATAAAGATTGTCAGTTCTTCACTTTATCAGTTTCATCAGTACCTGTTATGAATACACTTTCTGGTAGACGTTATTAACCTTGTTATTAATTAGATTTGATGTTCTACGTCCTACCTGAATCAAACTGATTTAAATTTAAAACAAAAGCTGCAACTACTTATCAGTCAGCATCTTACCAGTGTGGTATTTTCAGGTAAAATGATTTCCTGATAAGTATCAGAAAGGAAAACCCGCAAATAACAACATATTCGATCAAGAAATAAGAGGAATGTCCTGTAGTTGACCACCTGGCTGAATTTTAAGATGGACGCGTTTGAAAACAAGCTTTATTTTAACACAAAATAAAAACAATGTTCATACCTGCGAAGACAAGTAGACGATCGCCTCTACTGGATCAGTGAATAGTTCGCCAGCTTTCTGTCTCTCAAGATGAATTCCTGCCGAACTAATCATGATGAAAGCCAAGTAGAAATGAACAATGAAAAAAGTTCGAACATCACCTCGCTTTCTTTGTCCAATAGATAGCGTCACCTTGTGACCTCTGTTCCCTGACAGCAATGGTCAGCCATCAGTTTTAGTTGACGTCATAATTCGGCCAACAGAGGATATTCTAATTTTAACTAGTTCTAACCCACGCCCAAAATATAATAAAATATCCTTGCAGACAGAAGACGTCGTCTAGAACAAAGGGCTGAGGTGGCTAGAACAAGATAATATTAGAACATTTGAACCACGTGTTTCCGCCAGTCAATGCAAAAACTAGATAATCAATAATTTGGAGTAATTCTATATTACTATAGAAGGTAGGACACCTACAATATATCCACATATCACAGCACAACCTTATTAAACACATTTATATTTACAACGTTTATTGGAAGCTAGTAAGTAACCGAAAATCATTACTGAAGAATGTATTAAGAAGGGGGATAATGGATGATGTTTCTAAAACACTCCCGTTAACTTTGTGTCAGGTTTTTTGGCAAAATTGATAGGTGCAAGACAGTTTGTTTAGTTTTGCTTCGGATGTTTGCAGGAAGTTATGCAGGGTCCATCTAGACTAGCCATCCCTGATTTTGAAATGATAGACTAGAAGGAAGGCAGCTAGTCAACAACATCCATCATCAACTCTTGGGATACTCTAATCGAATAGTGGAATTTGACCGTTACCCTTATAACACACCCATTTACCCAAAATGTGGATCGCGATTATTAATATTATTATTTTCATTTTCACTTTTAATTCGCTCTATAAAAAATGATGAAAATTGGCGGCTTTTGATCCTGATTATCTGGGTAGCCAAGGTAGGTAAATCTTAAACACTGGTTATGAGATAAACTACCGTATACAGAAGTCAATCACTAACCGTTGTAGCAGCTGCCACAATTACAAAAAAAAAGGCATCAAATGAATAGCAATTTGTAATTATGCACGTTTTTAAAGCTAGAAATAGTTTAATTTATCGATTTAAAAGCAGTACCTTTTCAAGAGAGTGTTTAAATACATTATGTATCCGTGTTTTAGTCCATCTATCTTAACCGATATATTTGTTTCTTATTCTATTTGTTTTAACCATGAAATAACCGCGTCTTATTCCATCTGTGGTTTAGTAGCAGCATACGTAAGGGTAAACGTTTCGGATACATGTGTTTGAAAATAACACGGATTATAGTAAAATAAGATCTTCTGGAACTGATTTAGATAAAAGTTTTTTTGAAGAAATTATTCTGTAAAGTTTAATCTAGCCTAAGTTAGTTAAATATATCTTTAAATATAACTTTGATGAACTTTAGTATCATAATAAGTTCAAACTAGTAATTGATGTGTTCGGAGGAAAACGAAGTTTCACAATAAAAAGGATAACGATACTTTAGGTAAACAACAATGTTTATTTATAACACAAGGGGGCATAGATAAACGTTTCGGAATTCAACAGATTCAATCTTCAGTATCTAAAGCAAAATGCACTTAACCTATCAAATTTCAATATCATTTGCAAAGTCAACACTGATCTGAAACTATTGATTAAAGAAACCCTCCACATCAAACAAATTTTACCAACACTGAACAACATGCGATCTTCTTTTAAAGTGTACATTTTCTAATATGTGCAGTATTTTGTTTGTTACTCATTTAATTTTTACGTTGTTGTAGTTTTGATTAAATTACTGTTATTGTAGTAATGTATTT